ACAGACAGGTGTGGCGGCACCGGGCTGTAATCCCAGGATTCTGGGAGTCTGAGGCAGGAGGATCATGAGGTTTGAGACCACCTTGGGCATCTTAGAGACTTAGCAAGACCTTGTCTCAAAATAAAAAATAAAAAAGGGCTGGAGACATAGCTCAGGGTCAAGGTCCTGGCCAATTCTCAGGATCACCAAGGGAGAAAAAAGTCATTGCCTTGACATCTGTCTCCAGATCCATGAGGGGGCACTGTGGAGCTGAGCAGTAAGGTGCAGTAGGCATAAGCAGGATACTGTTCCCACTTAACAAAACAATACACCTTCAGCTTTTCTAGGAAATTCTGGAACAGTCTGAACAAACATAGCTCACCCTCATTTATCACCATGGCATCAGCACTTGTGAAGATTGGTAGTAAACTTTATTCATATGTGCTTTTCATATAATTTATTAGTAGCACATATACAAATGTTTTCTTTCTGCAAACACCTGGAAACTCCAGGGTATAATTTAAATTCTCTTTGCTTTTGTTTTTGTTTTTGTTTGGTTTTGGTACTGGGAATTGATATCAGGGCCCTTACCACGCTAGTGCTGTGCCACTGGGCTATACCCCTGGATTTTGTTTTTTATTTATTTTTTATTATGTTTATTAGTACTTTTTAGGTATACAGTACTGTTACATTCATCACTGGGATCTTGTAGCTTTGTTTTTTTGTTTTTTTGAGACAGGGTCTCACTGTGTAGTTGAGCCTGACCTGGAACTCACTAAGTAGCCCAGGCTGTTCTGAACTCACAGCGATCCTCCTGCCTCAGCCTCCCAAATGCTGGGATTACAGGCGTGCTCCACCACACCTGGTGGAATCTTGTAACTTTATATGATGTATCTTGGTTCTTATTTTTTCCCCACCTTGTTTTTGTTTATTGAGACTGGGTCTCGCTATGTAGTTCAGGCTAGCCTTTTTTATTTTTGGTACAAGGGATTGAACTCAGGACCTTGCTCTTGAGAGGCAGGCAGAACCCAGCCCCTGTTTTCTGTTTTTTGTTTTTTTTTTCTGCTGGGGATTTAGCTTGGTGGTTCCAGTGCCTGCCTTGCAAGCACAAGGCCTGGAGTTTGATCCCTGGTACCAAAAAAAAAAAAAAAAATTTTTTTTCTTTCCTCTTTTTTTTCTCCCAGTACCAGGCATTCAAATTTGCAAGGGAGGCATGGTGCCACTGAGTTAAATGCCAAGCCCTCCTTTTTTATTTTTTATTTTTTGGTACCAGGGATTGAACTTGGGACCTTGCGCTTATGAGACAGGTTGCGGAACTACTGAGCTAAATCCCTGGCCCTATTTTTTATTTTTTGGTACCAGGAATTGAACTCCGGTCCTTGCAGTTGTGAGGGAGGCACCTATTTTTTATTTTAAATAATGTGTGCTGTGTGTAATTTTGTTCAGATGACTGCGGAACCTGGCAAATCTATTGCTATTGCTGCCTAACATACTATAATCTTGGCAACAATAAACAGAGGCAGTTAGATAGACAGAGAAGTCATGGATATAAATCAATGGAGTTAGGAAACAGGGTGAGAAAGGGTTGAGATTGGGTGATCTCAGTTTATAGATGAACTTTACAGGGGAGTTTTCAGTTTTGTTTTTTGTTTTTGGTACTGGAGATCAACTCAGGACTTTGTAGTTGCAAGATAGGCAGTGGCATCAGTGAGCTAAATACCCGGCACAGGTGAGATTTCAAACCATGAGGCTGAGACCCTTGAGACTAAGTGTTCTTAGAGAAGAGAAGAGACTCTCATCATAGGGCATGGTGGTGCATACCTGCAACCCTAGCACTCTGGGAGGTTGAGGCAGGAGGATCACAGTATCAGTCCCAGCCTCAGCAACCCCGTGATTTAGGGAGCCTAGTCTCCCAATAAAATAAATATGTAGATTTTATTTATTTTTTAAATTATTTAATTATTTATTTTTTGGTACTGGCGATCGAACTCAAGTCCTTACACTTGTGAGGCAGTTGCCAGAACCACTGAGAGAAATCCCCAGCCCTAAATAGATTTTATTTTATTTTTTGTTTTGTTTTGCATTTTTGAGACAGGGCCTCACTATATAGTTGAGACTGATCTGGAACTCACTGTGTAGCCCAGGCTGGTTTCAAACTCACAGCGATCCTCCTGCCTCAGCCTCCTGAGTGCTGGGATTACAGGTGTGCACCACCACACCTGGCAATAAACAGATTTTAAAAAGAGCTGAGAGTGTAGTTTAGTGCAAAGTTCCTGTGTTCCATTCCCAGTACCGCAGACACACAGATACACAGAGACTGCACTCTGGGATAAGGTCTGTAGATTGAGGAGTTAAGGAATAAGCAATTCTGTATAAATCACTACACTTATTGTAATTTATAGCAACTTTTCACTTTTTTGTTATTGTCTGTATATATGTATGTATTCATCTATTCATTCGTTTGAAACAGGCTGGTCTTGAACTCAAGATGATCTTTCTGCTTCAGCCTCCCAATTGCTGGGATTACAAGTCTGTGCCACAACAGCTACTTTCTATTCTTGGTATACCTTAAATTTGGAGTTGGAGCCATTAAGTATTAGAGTAAAGCTAGGGCTGGGGATTTAGCTCAGTGCAATGTGTCTGCCTTGCAAGCACAAGGTCCTGAGTTTGATTCTCAGTACAAAAAAAAAAAAAAAAAAGTAAACTCCTGAGGTCCACTTCATTGAAACTGGAAACACATGCTGAAGAAATGTGTCGGTATAGCTTATATAGGACAGGGGAAATCTGTTAGCACTAGAACTTTGGGCAGTTTTGCTGGTTATAAATTAATATTTATTTATTTATTCCTTTTTTGAGACAGGGTCTCAGTATGTAATCCAGGCTGGCCTCGAACTCATGGGGATCCTTCTGCCTCAGTCTCCCAAGTGCTGGATTACAGGTTCCTACCACCATACTCAGCCTAGGTTATATCTTAAGATACAGGCTTATTTCTCCTTTATGTATGAAAAAACTTTTGGGCCATTTTTATTGTGGTAAGATATGTAACATAAAATTTACCCTTTTTTTTCAGTGCTGGAGATCGAACCCAAGGCCTCTCTACCCAATTTATCCACTGCTGAGCTATATCCTTAATCCAATTCCAGCAAGTTTTAGGGGTCAGTGGTTTTAATCACATTTGCAATGTGTATCACCATCTCCGCTGTAGGGAGCTCCTGATTCCTGAGACTAAGCATAGGATATAAATAATGCTTTATAAATGGCGCTGTATTTTGTTTTGTTTTTGGTACGGGGATCGAACTCCGGTCCTTGCGCTTTCGAGGCAGGTGGCGGAACCATTAAACTACATCCCCAGCCCAGGCGCTGTATTTTTTGGTTAAAAATTTGAAAACAGGAAATCTGGACCTGAGATCTGGACCTGTCGGTTTTTTCAGTGCTGGTAATTGAACTCAGGATCTTGTGCCTGCTAGGTAGGCGGGGCTCTACTGAGCTAAAATCCCCCCACCCCGCTCCACCCGGACTGGACCTGTCATTAGTAACAATTACTGGATTTTCCCCCCTCCACACACACACTTTTTAAAAACAGGGTAATCTCTGGGATTATAGGCTTGGGCACCATGCCCAGCCCATCCTCCCTCTTTTTGTTTTGTTTTTTGAGATAGGTTCCTGCTCTGTAATTCAGGCTAGCCTTGGACTCACTATGCCCCAGACTCACAGTGATCCTCCTGCCTCAGCCTCCTGCTTGCCTGTTGCCTCCCTCTTGAACACAGGGCTTGGAGCACGCTGAACACTAGCTCGAACTCGGAGCTAAGCTCTCAGCCCTGTGAGGGCTAATTTCTGACCATGGGCCTAGGGTTTAGAGCAACCCGGTAGCACAATGGGATGAGCTGGCTGCCTTGAGCGCTGAGAGCTCGGCAGAAGAGAGCCCGCGCGGGCGCGGAGGAGTAGGTGCTTGGGCACAGCTGGCCAGGAGGAACCGGGTGGGTGACAGCTAGGCCCGGCGACAGCCACCTGAAATTTGGGCACTAAGCAGAGGAGAGAACAGATCCGCGCCGCCGCGGAGGCAGAACTGGTGGAGTCAACTTCCAGGGCTTCAGAAACAACAGCCCGGGGTTGGCGATATTTTTGGCAGAGGTGTTGTGGGTGCGTGAAGGTTAAGAAGGCAAAGGCTGAGCTTCATCCAATAAGGAGCACGCTCAGAGCGCGGAAGCCAAGAGAAGCAGAGATGGGGTGTGGGGGAGCAGTGCTTGGGAGGCTGAGGCAGGAGGATAGCTGCTAGTTGGAGGCCAGCATGGACTACATATGAGTGCAAAGCCAGCCTGAACTACATAGCGAGACCCCATCAAAAAAGAAAGTGAGCCGGGGTTGTCTCAAAATGAAAAACAAACTGAGTATGTACCTCAATGTGAAGACCTTTGGTCTAATGCTCAATACCACCAAAAAATAGAGAGAGAAAGAGAGAGAGAAAGTGAGAGAGGAGAAACGAGGCGGGGTGGGGGGGTGGAGAGAAAGAGAAGGAGGGAGGGAGAGGCGAAAGGCTAAAACAGGCCAAGGGCCAGGGTAGCGTTCTGAGGCAGTGGGCTTTAATGGGGTCCTTCGTGGACTACTCTTCCCTTCATCCGTGGAACCTTAAAGCCCTGAAATGCAAAGGGGGACGCAAAGACTTGCGGGGAGGTTGGGCAGAGGAGCTCAGTTTTGGCGACGCCTCCTTCCGCTCCCCGCCCCTGGCCCCGCCT